AACCTCTCTCTGCTTTAGTTTCTTCATCTGTAAAGTGCAAGTAATATTAGTTACCACTTGCCAACTAGCAGTACTTCTTCAGCTAATTGTCTCAGCAGGGATGTTGCAAAGATTAGCTGATAAATGATTTATAAACCCCTTGAAATATTAAATAAGTGATGTAAAAAGCTCTAACAAGAGAAGGACAGAACAAATCATTCCATGAATTAATTTGCTACTTAATCATATATAGTTTATTAAAAAAAAAACAAAAAACACCCTAGAAAGAGGTAGCCCTCAGTACAGTGAAAATAGGATAGATTACTAGGAATTGTAGAGTGCTTTTTGTTGCTGTTATTTTTTTAAAAAATCCTCTTATAATTACGAATATATAGAACAAAAAGTATATTAGAGGAAATGATTATAGGTTACCTCCCTAAATTGATGAAAATTCTTCAAGGAAGGAAAAGAACTGAATAAAAATAAGGAAACACACTTTCTCAGACTACCTTTACTATTAACAATGGTATAACCCTGACAAATTTACTTAACCAATAAGGAGTTTGAGTAAGATAATTGAAAACAAATCTATAAAATGCTTTTTATAGATGTACAAACAACATAAAAATCCTGTGCCAACCTCTGTAAAGGACTAAAAAATTAAAGACCCAAATCTCAAGGAAAATGTAAGAGAACAACAGGAAAATAGTTCTTGCACAGTGCCAAATTAAATGAACACTCTTAAAGTTATTCATTATATCTGGAGATGGGAAGAGGGTGTGGTTTATAAATTCGGCTTGAGAGATGAGTAGGATTTTGTTGTCATTGGGAGAGAAGGGCATTCTAGGTTGAGAAAACAGCATTAGAAAACCAGTTGAATACAACATATATTGCAAGTGTTAGCTATGAATGATCCTTAGTATGCATGAGAGGGATAGTTTAGGGAAAGATACTAGTAAAGTAAGTTGGTTTCAATTTCTAGAAGGCCATGCAAAAAAAATTGAACTATGTTTGGTGGGTTTCCAGGAGCCACTGAAGATTTTTAAGTACTTTACGTTTTATAAAGTTAATTCTGGTGATAGTGTAAAGGGTAAGTTGGAGAACAATACATTTAGTTAAGTAAGTAGTTAGCATATAATTGCAGTAGTCAAGAAAGATGATGAAACCAGTGACCAGAGGAAAAATGGAAATGAAGAATATAAAATGGACATTGAATAGATAGAAATAAAACAATGAGGTTTGGGAAATGATTAGATGTAAAGATGAAATGTGAATAATTATGGGAATGGAGTAATTGAAGACAATTCTAAGATTTCTATAATAGGTACCTGAGAAAATAGTAGTAATATACATTAAAATAATGAGAATAATGAATAGTTTGTGGGTGGAGGTGGAGATACAGCAAAGAGATTCCGTTTTGAACTTACCAAATTTGAGTTTTTGAGGACAATCAATGGTGGAATATTTAGTAGGCAATAAAAATTCTGAGCTAGGGGCACCTGGGTGGCTCAGTGGGTTAAGTGTCTGACTCAGGTCATGATCTCCCGGTGGTGAGATCCAACCCTACATTGGGCTCCAGGCTCAACAAGGAGTCTGCTTCAGATTTTCTCCCCCCGTCCCTCTCCCTGCTCACTCCTGTGTGTGCAAAAAAATAAATAAATAAAATCTTAAAAAAAAACTTCTCAGCCTATACTTCAGAAAAATATCAGGCCCCCAAATTATTAATTTGATAGTCCTCTATATACAGGTGGCAGTTAAAACTATGGGGTAGAAGAGATTATCAACAGTGAAATTATTTCCTAACAGAATATAGCCTGTACTTCTGGCTTTATAACATTTTTAGGCTTGAATTTCTCATTACAAAGTTTTGATTTGTTAAGCATTGTGGAAAGGAAAAAAAGATTTGAATCTGAGCTAAAGGAAGTTTCAGAGAATTTACGTAATGATACAAATGACTAGATTATGAGTTTATAAAAACCAGTGTGAAAATGGGCCCGTGTCAAAAAAAGGAAATATATATGCAGATAGATAGATGATAGATAGATAGATAGATAGATAGATAGATGATAGATTGATAGAGATATATATCTAGGTAGATATCTATATATAAAACCTTGAATGAAGACATAAGGGTCACAGTTATCACATCACTGGGATCAGAGATGAATTGATGAATAGAGAAAAAGAGAAAAGATTGAGAAGAATAATCATTAGTATCAAACATTGAAACTTTTTTGAACCTGAGAATTTTTTATATACACTGAAAATCAGGGAGAAAGTGAAGTACTTCCTTCAACCAAGCCAGATGGGATACCATGTTTAATAGTATTAGTCAAAATCTTATTGTAAAAACCATCAGGGGCGCCTGGGTGGCTCAGTCATTAAGCATCTGCCTTCGGCTTAGGTCATGATCCCAGGGTCCTGGGATCAGGCCCCGCATTGGGCTCCCTGCTTGGCGGGAAGCCTGCTTCTCCCTCTCCCACTCCCCCTGCTTGTGTTCCCTCTCTCATTGTGTCTCTGTCTGTCAAATAAATAAATAAAATCTTTAAAAAAAAAGAACCATCAAAAAGACATTCTACTTTTTTTCTCATATTCGGCAGAATTGATTCTAGCAATGTTTTTGTGATAGAAAGGTCAATGCCCTGGATTCAGAATAAAAAAAGATTTGACTTCACCTAGTTAATAAAAATTGCCATCTCTCTGTGTGTATAACTCAGTATATGAGATTGCTTTTTGAAAGAATGCTTTTGATGGGACACTATCCAAACTCTTCAGAAGTGTAATACCTGTTCTTTTTATACTAAATAATACTCTAGAGCATGCAATGTCATCACCTGGTGCAGGAATTATAATTATACCTTAACAGAAGAAACTTTTGTAGAATTTTTTAAGTTGTGGCTATTAATAGGGTTGTGGTTTTTATTTCTTCTTTGCTGTCACTAACTCCAAAGTGCGACTAGAATATAGCTCAATTCAAGGAAAAAGGGAATTGAGGTAGCTTCGAGTTCTAGAACTTTGCTCTGAGCTTCACACTTAGTGTGAAGCCCTCTGATTTGTGAGATTAAGGGCTTTTTTTAAAATAAGCTACTAGATTCTTAAGCTTGAATTACATAAACAAGAAGAAATTATAACAGGAAAAGAGGAGAAAAAGATGGATAGTCCTTCGCCTGGAAATAGAGCAGCTGATATTTCCAGAATATTTTAGGAATCAAAAATTTGCTTAAATTATTTACCAAAGAGTTTCCTTCTACAATCTGTAGCATTTATCAGCTTCCTGTTACTATGATATCAACAATTCAGGTCCCCCAAACTCTTTCAGTCAGTCTCTGAGATACTTTCACTGCGTTCATAAGTTCAAAATAATTTTCATAATAATACTGATGATACTTGCCTTTTTTACTTGGCTGTCATTTGCACTAATGGTGCAGAAGCCTGGTGGGAAAAACTGCTAGCACCTCAGCACTTATCAAGTCGCAACACCAAACTCTCCTGTAACCCTGGTATTCTTCACCATCACACACTCACAGTTAATATTTTTAAAATGCTAGATTTGCCTACAGATATACTTGATGAAGCAGTAACAAATATTGTATCAAATCTTGTCCCCTGAGGACAGATCTGTTTAACCTCTTTGTGATGAACTAGGAAGTCACATGAAGCACTTCTGCCAGGTACCAAAGTGAATAGTTGTCTCCAGTAAACTACTTGGGTGACTACTGGGGTTGAGAGCTGAACTAGCCACTTTTTCATAAGTCACCATTTTTACTTGAAAGAACAACTGACAGGCAAACTGTGGTTTTTTTCAAACTTGGATATTTGGCAGAGATTTTCTTAAAAATGAACAAAATGAGCTTGTCACTTCAAGGGAAGCAAAACCCAACTGTATCTATTGGCAATGATTAAATCTGAGCTTTCAAACAAAAGTTACAATTTTGGAAAACTTACTATCTGCCCCTGTGAACTTGTCAGTTTCCTAATCCTTAAAGACTTTTCTGATGAGATAGGTGGTGTAACTAACATATGTGATATTGTATAATACAGTACCATTTGGAATTTTTGCATAACCCAGTGAGCAGTATCTTCCAAATGACCAATGCTTGATACTAAATGCGTGCGCGCACACACACACACACACACACATATGTATGCATATGTATATATATATGCATAAGCAAAAGGTCCATTTAAAGTACAAGACAGACAATAGATTTTAATAAAACAGAGTATGGAAAGCATATTGATATGGTTGTAGATTCCACATTGCAAAAAAAAAAAAAAATCCACAATCATCTGAAAAGGCTATTTAAACTCTCCTAACATTTCCAACTAAAAAATCTGTGTGAGTCCAGATTTTCCTCATATACTTCAACTAAAACAGCATATTGAGACAGATTGAATGCAGAAGCAGATATGAGAAACCAGATGTCTTTTATAAAGCCAGACATTTACAAAATTAAGCCAGAGAATTGCAAAATGTAAAACAATGTCATTCTTGTCACTTTTTTTTTTTTTTGCTTTGGAAATATATTTCATTTCATTAAAAATATATTATTTATGGAAACATGTAATAGGATTATTATTTACACTTTTAAGTGGATTAATAAATATTTTAAAATATTTCGGTTTTAATTTCTCATATGATAAATATTAGCAGCTATAACTACATAAACAAAAGCTCACTAGTGTTTTCAATAATTTTTGAGAATGTAATGGATATCTGAGACCAAAATGCTCCAGAAACACTAATGTAGACCAAGCCCTAAGCACATAGTAAACTACTCAGAAGCTTTTAACACACTTTTGAGAAGTTATATAATTGCATTTGTAATATAGGACAGGAAGAATTTTCCTTCTCTTTTAAACTTAAAAGAAATCATACCATTCATACTAGAGAGAAGACTTCAGTGCCTGCTGGTGGCATTCTCTTCATTCTTTCTTCCAAGTCTGTGAGTCTCATTTCATGTGTCCCCATTTACAGGAGTAAAATTAGCATGTTATCTAGTCACCATTTGGCTCATGACTCAATGTCACTATAAAAATCATTTTAGCAGCTTCATACGCCCAACTTCTTTTAAGATACACATCTATGTGGAATGCTTCAACTTATTTAATATAGGAGACGTAAGTACATACTTTTCCTAGCCTCTTGCAATCTATTCAAATCTGTGAAATCTACAAGGGTAAAATCTTTTGGTTTAGTCTCTCAAATAATTTGTATATATGATATTTAAAAAGATAATGACATAAACAAGGGAAAGACCAACATGAATCTCAGTTTAGAAATCCATTATACAAATGAAGAATTTTTAGAATACCAATATACTGTTTCTTTTGTTAGAGTGAGAAAGTGAGATTTTTTTAAAAAGGGGGAAAAGAAAGAGCAAGCTTGTTCCTTAGTCCTGAATTTTGATTGGCTTTTTAGATATCAATATTTGGAGATTTATGGTTTAAAATTTAACCTAACTTTAAATGGTACAGTACTTAAATAATGAAATGTGTTTCTTTCTCTCTAATCAGACTATTAGTATAATTTGCTTTTTTTCTCTAACTGGATACAAAAAATAAAAAATAACCATTTTATCTTGTTTATATCTAGTACTACCATTTTGCTTTATCTACAAAATTCTAATTATAGCAACATAAACAGGAAACTTTAGTGGAGCCCACTTTTGGTAAATTTTGCAGGTTTTATTCTAATTATTTTTATAAGGCCAGAATGTGTGCTAATTGCTACTCTATTAAACCTCTACCAGGTTTAATAATCTAATGCTGACATTAGATTTTTTTTTAACTTTTATCATTTTTTGGTGAGTATCTATTAGACATAATCATTTGGCAATAGCGTCCCAGAATATCTAAGCAAAATTACAAAGTCATTATACAGTGGTGTATTTGGTGTCAAAGATATTTCCGGTCTCTGGTAGTCATATCACTAAACTGAAGAGCTGTGTCTGTTTAACTGAAAGAAAAAATAACATAGCTGCCATGCATGTAAAAATAACTCTTTTTTCAGCACCTAATGGGAATTCACTAAAAGAACTATAATCATGGAAAGAGAGGGAAAAAAAAAAAAGAGTTCATAGCATCTATATATTTTGTCTAAAAATGTAATTGTATTCTTCCTCATTCATGTGTTTACATGTGCGCTATTTGTCAGCTATTTTTCTTTTTAGTGAAAAATAAGTCTATTGTTCAGAGAAAAAAATGTAATAAAAATGAAATACTACTTTTATGATAACTATTATTATAATAATAATTATAATGGACCATAATTGAATGCCCAGTACTCAGCACAGCAATCTAGCAACTATGTTTTGTAAGTATTTAAGGAGAGAAGTTTATAGGAATGAGCTCTTCTCACAAATGCCATTAGTGTCTTTCAAGCCAATTGAAAACCATATATACACATTTTAAAGGTGAACACAATATACACTTACATCTGTCAAAACCTTCTTTCTTATTCCATGTTCTTGTTACTTAAGAGAACACTAAGCGAAAATTCAAATTAAGTTGTTGGCTCCCCTCTTTATAAGCAGAATTACTGCCAGGATCTTTTAACATTCCCAGATATACAAATCATAACACAGCACATATTCTTTTAATTCATATCTTGTCATGGAAAATGTCACCACTTTTATCTGTTTCAAATCTCCTTAAACTATTAAAATCTCCTTAAAACTATTAAAAGCAAAGTGAATTAGATATTAAACCCCCACAGTCACATGTATTATTATGAGTCTATGTATAAAAATGATAATGGCAAAAAAGGGAAAACTTCTATTGCAAAATACAATGCTTTCTATGCAAAACCCATAGACCTGGGTAAGTCAGAGTTCTGTGTGTTATTTAGCAGTCACTTAGTATCTCTGAGATTTATTTTCTTCATCTGAAAATAAGGATATTTTAGCCTACTCCATAGCATTGCTATCAGATGAGAAATGATAGCGGTTGTGCTTTAAAAAAAAAAAAAAAAGCTTGTGTTTTAAAAAGCCATAAAGAGACTGAGAGTGAGAGACAGTAACAGTGATTGTTAGACAAACTTATTCCTGTAACTCCACCTTTCCTTAACTTTTATGAGATAATATTTATTAGGTTGATATGCATGTCCAATTCTAAATCGTCAAAGTAACATAGAAATTAGATACTGTGTTGGTTAATGGTGGTAGAATAGATAATGAAAATATCTTTATAACTAATAACACTGAATTACTCCAAGGTCAAACCTTTATTCAAACTTACAACTTACTCACAGACAGGCAAGCTGGTAAAGTAGAAAAATGAAGTAAGACTTTTAGACCTTCATTCCAGACACTTAATTAAATGTGTGAAGATGAGCAGATCATAGAATTGTCTAGTCCTCAGATTCCTCACCTGTAAAAATTTCTGGATTTTTAGGATTTGGTAATTTAGTATAAACAGGGAAGAGGGAAGTTCTCTGTGGCTACTGATGAAGGATGTAATATATTTTTTCTTCATTGTTTAGTTTTATTCAACATACTTTTATTTAGCACTGACGGTATGCAAAGGACTCTACTAGAAACTGTATGTAACTAAAACATTAAAATGTAGTTCCTAAGACAGGAACTACATTTTCCTGACCAAACATAAGTCAGAGCTTATGTTCGGTCTAGAAGGAGAGGTACTAAAATGCTAGTTAGAATTTAAGTGCCCTATAATGCACAAATCAAGGCCCAAGTGGGAGTGCCAGCTGAAAAGACAGGGAAAAGAAGACAAAGAGAAGATGGCATTTATTTGGCTGAATTCTGAGGGCTAAATCCATTTCAACAAGCAATTCAACAAGCAAGTTTGTTAGAGGAAGGCATTCCAGGGAGAATCACAGACTTCAGCAATAGAGCAGCAGAGAAGCTCTGGAAAAATATTTTGCATTATTCTGCAACGTACCAAGTATGAGAGTTAGGGATTGAAATTAAAGCAACAAAAGTGGATTCTTTCCAGATTGTGGAAAAGCTCAGCAATAATCCTGGGCAGAGCTTGCCCTGTGTTTTACAGGGAGCAAATATGAGTGACATCAAATAAAAATCAACATGACCTGGCAAGTGATTAGACATGGCTATCAAGTGAAAGAAATAAGCAAAAGTATGCTTCAACATAGTGTATTAGTAAGGCCAGTTTATTCTATGTTTTGTTGTCATCTTATTTTGTTTTACTGAATTTGAAATGCTTATGCAAAACCAGGTGAAAATATCTATGTAGCAAGCAGTTGCCCTTGTGTGTGAGGTGCCTGTTAAAACAGTCTAAACAGGAGATGCATACTTTTGCATTATCCATTGTGAGGAATTAGAAGCCATGGATTAGATGAGTTTTTCAAGTTAGACAGGAAAGAAGAAAAAAAGGTCAAGGACTGACCTTAAATTCCTACAAAATGTTCCCTAGGAAGAGAAATCTGTGAAGAATACAAAAGTCAAATAGGATGGAACCAGAATGGTAAGGTGATAGCTGTGGTGTTTTTTTTTTTAATTTTTTATTGTTATGTTAATCACCATATATTACATCATTAGTTTTTGGTGCAGTGTTCCATGATTCATTGTTTGTTCATAACACCCAGTGCTCCATGCAGAACGTGCCCTAGCTGTGGTGTTTTGTTTTGTTTTGTTTTTGTTTTTTTATCAGCACCTACCATGTGCTTAACATTGTATTAGGCTCTTTGGATATGTAATCCAAATGAATTCTCATAGCTGCCTTGAGAACTAAGTATATTTATGACAATTTATAGATGAAACAATGAGTACAGAAATATTAGATATAGCATAACAACTTAATGGAAAGTCTAGGTTCAAATACAGATAGCTATAATATCTATAATACTACCTGTAATAATCTTGCCTCTGTAGCTTGCAGTATGTGCTGGGGGAGAGTTTCAAGGAGAATGTAATTGTCAATGTCATGTATTGTAGAGAGATCAAACCAGGATGGGCATTCACAAGAAATGTAATAATTAAGCAGTAACTTAATGTTAATACAAATCATTTTAGTGATCCATAAGAATGTAATCTCCATAAAACATACTACATAAAAGCCAATGGAATACAGACATTTTAAAGATTTGTTCAAGGAAAGTGAGAAAATAAAAGTAGCTGACCCTTTCTGAGAAATTTAAAAAAGGAAAGAGATGGTTGTGTAAAGATGTATGAAGGTTGAGGAAGAATATTTGGTTAAATGATTGGGTTTTTTGTTGTTGTTTTCTGGTTTTGTTTTTTTGTTTTTTTTTTTTTTTAGTAAGAGGACTTGAACATGCTTACAGACTTATGGGAGAAATGCAGAGGAGAAAGAAGACTCAAATTATTGAGGAAAACAAATAATGAATGGAGCAAGGTCCTATAGGAGGCGACAGGAAATAGAATCAATAGCATGCCTTAGAAAGAAAGAAACCAGTTCATCTAGGAAAGAAAGAATAGTGTTTTACAGAGAAATATGTTTGAGAGAGGAAGAAATTTAAGAGAATTTGAAGCAGATGTCCTATATCTTCTCAGAGAAGGAAGATGCAAAGTCATATCTTAAGGCAGGTGGTATCTGGTTGTGTGGCCTGTAAAGCATTTGGAATCCTTCCCACAGAGAAAAGCATAAGGAAGAGTCAACTAGAGGTGAACAAAAGAATTTCTGAACAACTCAGAGTGTATACTAATAATAGAGTAAAAAATTTCTAGTTGAGCCAATTGGCACAATTTTGTGACTTTTTCTGGTAACACTAAGCTACCCAGTTAATGAGATCAGAGAAAGTGCACCATGCTGTTTTCCTAGGTGAGGCTTAGGAAGATCAAGGTGACAGTAGGTCAAAGGGCCTTCTTGATGCCAAAAAGAAGTTACATGAAATTGGTTGGCGATTGATCCAGACTGAACCTGGAGGAAGCTAAGAAAGGGTTAAAGGAATTAAAAATATAACCAGTGCGAAGAACAGATTCATTAAGAGGAAGAGGGGAAAAAAAGAATAGGTGGTTATGGCCATGAAAGGAATCTCCAAATTCAGAATTTTAGAAATGAGATCGTTTTAAGTGATCATTGTTTTTACATCTTCACTTGAAGTGCGATTAATCATCATGCCTTTCAGCTTTCCCCTTACGTATTAGAAAATGGAAGAACAGGAGGTCAAGTGATTTTCCAAAAGTCACTCCATGACTAAACCCAGGATCTTCTGAAGAGCATTTTAAAATTTTAAATAAAATAATAGCCATTAAATCATATTCCCTTAAAAAATAATGGTAGATATAGTTGAGTGAATGGAAACCAAGTTACTCATAATATAGTCACAGTAAGCATGTACATACATATATTTCCTATTTCAAAAGTGTATTATGCTATTCCTCCCTCATTCCTGTTTCAGCTTCCTCTTAAAGAAGAGAAAATATAAAAGTTTTCTCCAGATTGAATTAATAGCTCCCTCATCAATATGCATTGGGGCAACTCAGCCTAAAAGGATGTGCAACTGACTGCCATCCTAAATTGCAGTGTAGATGGCATCAAGTTATTTCATTGTGCAAGTGTGCATGCCCATGATGATGTATAGGTTCCACCATTTTTGCTTCCCCCATATTTCTTATACTTTGAAAAGATTCCTTTCTCTTGATTATTGATATGTTTTTAATCTTAAACTATAATAAAATGTAATTGGAATATTTAGGAATAGGAGGGAAATTATTTTAAAGTTCTGTTTAAACAAATTAATGCAACAGAAATTTATTGTTTCTTATCTTACCATCCTTCTTTTGACTTTTAGGGAAGGACATAAATTGATTTTATTTTTTTTTAAGATTTTATTTATTTATTTGACAGGGAGAGACAAAGCGAGAGAAGGAACACAAGCCAGGGGGAGTGGGAGAGGGAGAAGCAGGCTTCCTGCTGAGCAGGGAGCCCGATGCAGGGCTCAATCCCAGAACACTGGGATCATGACCTGAGCCGAAGGCAGACATTAACAACTGAACCACCCAGGTGCCCCAGGAAGGACATAAATTTAAACATAGAAAAAACCAAAGATTTGTATTTGGTGGTCTTTTGTTAATACATATATCATATTTTACCTTGAAAATATTTTTTTTAGAAAACTCACTTTCATTGGCTCCTTTTTGGGGGTGGGCAGAGGGAGAGAAGAGAGACACCCTAAAGCAAGCTCCATGCCCAGCATGGAGCCCAACAAAGGGCTTGATCTTACAACCCTGAGATCATGACTTAAGCTGAAATCAAGAGTCTGACTTAACCAACTGAGCTACCCAGGCACTCCTAATTGACTCCTTTTTAAACCTGAACATTTTATTTCAAAGATTCAGTCAAGAAGGATTGTTATTCCTCTCAAGCAATGACTTAACAAAGGGGCCACAGGGAACCATCCTCCTGGACTGGGAGCAGTTATTTGGTCACTGACATTGCTTAGAATTGCTGGGGGGCACCTGGGTGACTCAGTCAGTTAAGTATCTGCCTTTGGCTCAGGTCATGATCTCGGGGTCCTGGGATCAGCCCCTGCATCAGGGTCCCTGCCAGCAGGGAGTCTGCTTCTCCCTCTCCCTCTGCCTCTGCCTCCAACTCATGCTCGTGCACTCCCTCTCTCTCTCAAATAAATAAATTAAATTAAATTAAAAAAAGAATTGCTGGTACATGGTGATAATAAAAAGCAAACTGAATTTTGGTCCAATTTCATTATTGTTCTTAGACTCTGCAGACAATGTACTTGCATTCTGCTTATCTCTAGGATGGACCACTTCCATTCCAACCCCAACCTTGGTATGCTACTGCTCTCAAGTTCTTATCTCTGCGGTTGAAGACTGACTAAAATGATATTAGAAAAGGAGAATTTTATGACCTAATCAGGTTTCCACAAATTATAGTATTCAGGTCAAATCTGGTCCTATTACTATTTTTCCAAATACAGTTTATTACATTTATTTAACATATTTTACTTGGACTACTTTTGCACTACAACCACAAAATTGAGTAATTGGAATAGAGACCATATAGCCCTCAAAGCCTAATTTATTTACTACCAGGCCTTTACAGAAAAAATTCGCTGACCTTTGATCAACGATTAAAGCATTACTTGCTTTGCAAACACGTCAGCAAGACAATTATTTCACATTCATATATTAGGCCAGTAATTGAACAAGTGTCTTTGTTAAATGTTACCATTGACCAACATTATATTTACCTATTAGTTTTTCTTTGTTTTGTAGTCCCTGCTATGTGGATATTTGTTAGCAATGACTGATGTGGAAACTACATATGCAGATTTCATTGCTTCAGGAAGAACAGGTAGAAGAAATGCAATACATGATATCCTGGTTTCCTCTGCAAGTGGCAACAGCAATGAATTAGCCTTGAAATTAGCAGGTCTTGATATCAACAAGACAGGTGAGTTGTTTGACACACATCTCTCTGTGAACATGGGATTATTTGTAGCATTTCACTGAGGAGGATTAAAACATGAAAACCACCTTTGAAAGTAATTTGGTAGAGTTAGAACAGTCTAAGGCAAGATGAAAGCCAAGGACTACGCCATTTTCAGTGTCTTCTCTTTATAGGGTTTCCCACTCAAATGCAGAATTCTTAATTTTATTTTACTAATGCAATCAATAAAGCACATGGGTTTTAAAAAAATTCTAATCTCCATAAAAGCTCTGAAATTTCTACAGAGAATATTTAACAAAGTTGGAGCTCCTACCTTCAGTAACACATTGGCCACCTATAACATTTCAATAACTATTTTGAAGGAAAAGGGTCTCTAGGTCACTATTGAAAATGGAAGTAAAACAATTTGTTACATCAATGTCTTAGGTAAAAGGTCTTTCAGTTTTCTTTTCATGATAGAATGGGTTTTTGGAAAATTTGTCTTATTATTGGGCTTTGTACTCTTCTTACCCAAGTACCAATGGAAAAGTAAAACAAGTTTGTAATATCAAAGTACTTCTGAGTATTTAAATGAATCCCAATAGTTCTTTCATCCATACTTTTGCAAGATTTAAAACTGGATGTATTTCCCTAACAAATCTTGTATAAAAATAACCTTTAAAAGTGAAAAAAAGGAGTTCATGATTAAGGAACCACAGTGTTGTGTACATGAAAAGCACTTACCAGTTTCTGGCTCATGGTAACTGCTCAGTACTTCTTTGCTATTAGAGTTTTTATGACAAAGCTTTCCAGTTATTGGAAAACTGAGTCAGAGTATAGGTTAATGAAACAGCTTAACAATATTACCCTAAGTACTAGGGATAGTACTTTATTCAGTGGCTAAAGGTCAGCAGGTCATAGATTGGTCTTTTCAAATTCAAATTGAAAATAAAACTTTAACATCACCACCTTGAAATATACAGACTTAACATATATTTTAGCTTTTGTTGTTTCCCTATTATTAATTACCAGAAGTTACTTATCAAAGCAGCTCTCAGAAGGGACTTAGGGAATTACTGCAATTTGGTGGCATGAGGTAAGTAAAGTTCTTCTGTAGTCTTTGAGAGTTTGCTAATTTCTTTTATAAGATTTGTATTTTTATTTATATGTTAATATTCTATTTTAAATAATCTGCATTAATTTTAGACACCCCTAATATTATTAATAGAGCAGTTCCATTTCTTCTTTTTTTGTTTTCACCGAAATTAAGACTCATCAGGATCAAGACCTATCTTACACAAGATAATATATTAAATTATTATATAACAATTGAAATTGATATTTTATATTAATAAATATAAGAAAATAATTTTATATTTTATACAAATGGTATTATTAAACAATTTAAAATAATTAAGATACCTTTATGCCACCAAATGCCTTCTTTTCTAAACATTTCTACATTTTAATTGCCATTCTCCAGGCCCCTGAAAATTTTTGTCTTCAAAACCTAAAGTCCAGAGCCAGCCAAAATATAAATAATAGTAACTTTTTTATTATTCTAAGTATAAAGAACTAAAAATAGTAACTGCAATACTGACAAACATATAATGACAAATGAAATATCAATAGCTGAGTATTGTGAAGGACTTCCTCTGTAACTCATGAGTGTTTCAACTTCTTTTTAGTTTATACTCAATATTGCTGTCCCATGTTTACCTTGACTTGTTAACAAGCATCTCTAGCAACGGGTCTGCAATTGCAGCATTATGCTAAGCCCTGAGAAGTGTTACCAGACACCTAGAAAGTCCCAAGCCTCATGGGAGTCAAATTCCTCATCTTATATTTAAGCAGTCAGTTTCATCCTTAAATATTCTGCTGTCTTATATCTGCCCTAATTTGACTTCATTCTTTTATCAAGAGCTTTTCTTATTTATCACGTTTTTGTTGCATGCGAATCTCTACACCTCAGATTCAGGCCATCTACACATCTTGGGAGGTTGTTCATTGCAGTAATAACAAAAATAGTTTATGAGCATTATATGTGTGTGTGTGTGTGTGTGTGTGTGTGTATGGGTGTATATATATATGTATAGTCATATATATATATATATATATATACATATATATATATATAGTCATACCCTGAGAACTCCTTTAGGAGCAGAATATATATATATTTATGTAGAACTGCTTTTAATTTCCCTAAAGTATGGTATCTGGTGAAATGTTTTGTGTATACTTGTTAAGAGTAAAGGAGAAATTGCCTTTCAACATTTTCATTTAAAGAATGGAACAGCCCACTCACCTCTATCCATTTGAATTTTGGTAACAAACAATCAGCAAACATTGATATAGTTTACGTTATTGAACATCCAAAAATATTTTGTCCACTAAGCTATATCGGTTGCTTAATAATGAACTAATACATGCAGATATATGAATCTTTGAATCAAGGATTGGCCTACAGCTTGCAAGTATTGAACTGTAGATAAAGTGACCTAATATGGGAAGAAGGCGTTGTTTAATTTCAGTGTTTGCTATGTCACAAGCTGAGAATGCTGCTGAGTACGCAATTATGAGAGTGGTTTTATTAGCATTGTGCATATGTTCTTTAAGGGCAGACCAGAGGCCATCATAACTATCTGGCAAGGGACCAATGAGCTAACATAATGTCCTTTCATCTTCCACTGTTGCTTTTAATTTAAATTAACTAAACCTCTAAAAAATCAGGTGGATTATCAACAAGTACTATAAATAATATAAAATGCAGTTTTTAAATATTTCTTAAAATAAGACAGGAGTAAAACGGTAAACTTGCTTCCCATTTTTTATTTCTGCCTAAAATCACTTCTGATTTCTGCAACCTGTGAAACTATAAGTGCCATGACCTGGCCTTGAGATTTCCTAGCATAAATTATCACTAACCATTGTAAAATTGTTATTATTTTGTTTTTGAGCCATGCTGTCCCAAGTTCATAGAACCAGAATTAGCCAGCCCTTGAAACACTAATTGAGGAATTGATTACTAAAAAAATACACTTGTCTCTATGAGAATTTCAGACTTTTTGAGTATTTCTGAAATTTCCAATATGATATGTTAAGAGTCAGTTAATATAGGCAATAGTTTTTTATTTTGCCTTTATCCTTTTTTTATTGTCTCTTACAGAAGGTGAAGAAGATGCACAACGAACTTCTACAGAACAAAGTGGGGAAGCCCAGGGGGAAGCAGCAAAATCTGAAAGCTAACACCCCACTTTGATAACTTCAGCAACATCTGACAATGTCTCAAATCTCCAGGCCTGGCTGGAATGAATTTGTTTCCAAGAGTGAAAAGGGGGTGGGAAAAATAGCTGTCCTGCATTGTAGGAATCTGCTCATTATCATGTTAAAAATGGGGGCAGAGGCTGTGGCTGCAGACAGACTTTTCTCTACCTCTGTCATTAGCAATGGTTGAAATCATGTGACTTGTGTTTGGATGTCATTTTTATATGGATCCTTTCACTTGACCATATGATAAAATGCTTGTAGAGAGTAGCACTGACCTAGATGATTCTTCCTGTAGCATCTGGCCCCTCACAATGTCAGAGGATTTAATTGTGTCTAATTGCAAAGGGTTGGTTGAACCCCAGAGTTTAAATATCTCTGGTCTAAGTATTCACCCAGTAAAAGAACCATCCAGAAAGCACTGTTTTTAGCATTATGTATCTGTGTGTTCCTGCTGTGTTATTTACACTGTTTTGTATTGTACAAAATAGACGCTCAGCACTGCCCCCTTCTTTGATCGCTTATGAGAAACAAAAATAATGTATGTGACTGTGAATTTTTATACCACTCATTTTTAAAAGGGCTGCCTTTTTCCTTCTCCACAGTGTGGTGTGGTGTACACAGGATAGATCACACTTTTTTTTAACTTAACCTTTCCCCTTGATTCACTGTTGATGAATTAAGTCTAACTAATTCATCAAGACTTTTTTGCTTTATTATAGAGGCACTTGAAAATATCCGCTAATGTGAATTTTACTTGAAATTCAGTCTGTTTGGTGTCTGCACAGACCAGAATTCAATATGCAAATTTTGTTTTATTTTCAATTGGAGAACTTTCCCCAATTAATATATTTTTTAAAATTTTTAATTATGAGGATTTTGGAGAATCAGGATGGTGGGAAAGATAAGATAACATTAAGAACAGGAAACATTTTGTTCTTATGGAATCAAATTACTCAGTGCTGTATGCTACTATTTAAATTTAGAGGACAGCTTATCTGGATGGAGCTGTAACAGATGGAAAAAATTATCTTGCAATCATGTGGACACCAATCACAAAAGTAAAGCCCTTGCATTGTGTTTTTTCATGTCTTTTTTCAGCCCTATCAGATACAAATGTTATTATGCACTTTTTAATGTTTGTAAACTTTTACTAATAATTAGTGTGAATTGCATTCTGATACAATAATAATTATCATTAGAAGCTAACAAAATCCTCATTAATACTGTTGATAGCCTCTGCTGTGTTTTGACATCTCATGATTCTTATATGGAAAGTTTCTGTGAGCTGTGTAATCCCACTGGTCAGTATTATAAAATCATTTATCAGTAGTAATAAATAAGGAACCGGTAATATGCCAATGGCTCATGGGTTACTGGACAAATAGCAGATAACAGGAAGACCCTTTACAATAAAGGACCCACTTAAATTATCCTCAAGGTCTTAGATACAGTCCCATTTGAGGTAGGTTAAGCAGCATTTCCACAGATAATCTCCATGGATATATGGGGAACTCAGCCCTAAGAAAGGTCAATCTTCCCTCATCCCCCCTTACAATACTTTCCAAATGAGTAGGATAAGGGCAAGGGTATCATTCAGTCCTCAATCATACGTTACTAGAAAAAATGTTAATAATGTAAGTCTCTCAGAAAATAGTAAATATTAGAGTACTTCATTCTAACCAGTTAGGGTCCCAAATGCCCTATTAAAATTCAAAGAAACCCACCTATTAATAGACTCACAAGTGGGAAGAGAGGTTCCTGAGGCTTTTTTAGACAATCTCTGGTAGTCCATTTAAAATATCTAACCCATAAAATCACTTTTTCAGTATCCTCATTTGCTATCCTCATAGCTTTCTTGTGAATCTAGGTAAAGTTCTCTCCATCCTTAAAGTTGTGGAATTCCAAACTGGTTACGTGATTTTGTAAAGTTTAGGACTAGTGCTGAGTGTATGTGGAGAGTTTATATTCCTATGTGATATATTATTATTAATGCATGTGGTGTCATGCTTGTCTTTGAATATATAATAGTGCTAAATTGCAAAGTCATATGGAGCTTTTGAATTATTTTGACCTCTTACTGCTACTTTGTCTGCTATATTCAAACCCAGAGGCATTCCCAAGCTAGAAGATAAAAATCTACTTTCCAAAATGTCGACATCCTACAATGTTGCTCAGCAAAAGTTCACAGTGTCTTCCAAATTGTATTGTCATATCTTTTACTTGCAAGTCAATAATGTACATGGAATTGAATTTTTAAGGACAAAAGGAAAAGGTAGAAAACTAAGGCGTTAGGTTTGAGACTGTGCATTGAATGCCCACTAACCAATAACTTATGCTAATCACTTCCCAGCACATTTTCTCCCATTTAATAGTTCCTCCTCAGAGAATTTGATTAAAGAGGTAGTGTTATCCCATTTCACAGATTAAGAAATTAAGGCTCAATAAGGTATAACTTTTCCAAGTTTAAAAAGCTAATAAATGTTGAAATTAAGATTTGAACCTATCTTTGTCTTTTTCCAAGGAGCTTTCTACTGCACATGACCATAAAATTAAAGCCAATTATAGAGCATCTTTATCTGTAAGGGAACATTTAGACATGAACTGGTTCAACCTCCATATTTTATAGAGGGAAACTGAGTCTCAGAACAGGGAATTGTCTTTCTCAACGTTACCTAGATAAGTAATGACACAGATGTGACTAGATCATAGAAAGTACACTTTGGAAAAAAAAAAAAAGAAATTCAATTAGAATTTATTTTTTTGTGTTATATGTTCCCCCAAATATTTTTCTGTCATGAAGTCTATAAATTTGGCATGGTTCAGATTTTTTTTTATGTTCCATGCTACTCGTTTTATTTAATTAACTAGAAATATGAAAATTTCAGTTTTACTCATTTGCAATAAGTATGAACTTGTCAAATTTACCTTTTATCAATTGTAAACATCCTATGCCAATATATTGTTCTCATAATTCATAGAAATGTTTTTCCAATATATAACAGGCAGTCTTCAATTTTTAGGCAACATCCCAAGAACTGCCCATTGTAAATGCCCTACACTTGAGTTTTACTCAGACACAGTGAAGATGCACCATTTTATAAGATGAATGATGTTGCTCTTTCTCTTCAGAGAAGCAATAACGGGTAAAGAATGTAACTGCCAGGTAACCTAGCTTCTGAGTAAAGCTTGTAGCAATAGGAAGACAATGTATAGTTATCAAGTAAACAGAGGAAAGCATCTAGGACTTATGATGTCTTAATAGGCCCCAGATTGTTCTTTAATTAAAGAGTGGCAGTCTCTGAAGTCATTTGTGAGCTTGTATGACTTTTGTATTTAGTAATGTTGCATGCTCACATAATTGGTATTAAAAGTAATACATTTTTTCTGAAATGTGCACAGTCTATTAAGAGTATTTATTACACTATGTATTTGGTGCTTGAGAAAGTGCTTCAAGTGAGAAAGGAGAAATTCAAAGCCTCAGCCATCCTGTGGTGGACATACCGGCATTCTGGCCTCACTTTTTCGGGGCCTTTACTCCAGTAATTTTCACCACCATTCCATAGCCCACTTCCTTGACTTCATCATCTACCAGAGTCAACTCTTAAATTAATTGTAAGCCCCACAAACACTATGCTCTTATGGTTCTTACTTGCTCATCTGCAGGGCAGTGATTTTCAATCAGAAGAAAGACCAACGTTTATCAGAATCCCCTGAAAATTTTACAACACTCCTTCCTCCACCCATATACATTCTCTCTCTTGCTCTCACACACACATACACAAACACACTTGCTCCTTGAAAACACTCCCTGTGCAACTTTGGCATCTTTCCTGCTCCCACCTTCATACTCACAACCTGAGAACCGATTTAGAAAAAATGCAAAGTTTCCAGGTGCACCAGCTCTGTTTATGCCACTAAAAAGCTTTAAAATGAGTGAATAACAAAGTGGAGTGTTCACAAACACCCATGGTTTTACTATATTAAGGAATAACATCTTGGGATAGAAAAAAGCAGAGAGTTTAACTTCTTTTATTTTGGTGTTGCTCTCTTTTCATTATATTATTTTTATCAGATAAAGGCAGGAAAGACCAAGCAGAATCCAAGGTGGGACCCAGGAGAAAGTAAGCATCGAATAACACCCTGAGTTCAGGCAAGGTCTTAAGCAGACAGGGTAAAAGAGGATGTAGATCTTTAAGTTCATGTTTTTTGGTCACATGGATGAAACACTACACAGGGATTTGGAACAAAATGCTAGCCAGTGCAAAACAAGTTTGTATTGTCTCTGGTGTTTCTTCTTTTTGTATATTTGTTGCCTCTATGTAGGCCAGAATGTGGGGATTTGGGATCCTGGCCATCTCTCACTATAAAGTCAAAATCAACAAAACTTTCTGACTATAACTGGTTTAACTTTCTAGTTTGCACCACATCTACTTTCTGTTTATATCAAGATGGATGTTTCTGTAGCAACTCTCCTCCCAGTCTGAATCCACTGTTAACCTCCTCAGTGCTCCTGATTTCTCACTTTCTTGTCTTTCTGCCATCTCTGCCCAATGAAAACCCATCAAACCATCTGATTTCACTCTAGTTCTTCACAATGACTGTAAAAAGTTTCTAACAATGCTTATTCATTGTCTGCAACTGCATTTTAGACATGAGTACTGTACAGATTTTTGCATCATATCCTGAAGGATAGAAGAAGTTAAGACAGTAGTGGGAAATACTGTCTAAGATGTAGGTTTTTATCTGACATTTTTTATTTTTATTTTTTAAAAGATTTTATTTATTTATTTGAGAGAGAGAGAGATAGTGCATGAGCAGGGGAGACGGGCAGAGGGAGAGGTAGAAACAGGCACCCGACACAAGGTTCCATCCCAGGACCCTGGGATCATGACCTGAACTGAAGGCAGACGCCTAACCGACTGAGCCACCCAGGTCTCCCAAGTCATCTTTGACATTTTTAAACCATTTTCTTTCAGGAGCTCTGTTAATTATCCTTTTTTCTTTACTGACTTTACCCTTTCCTACAAATGTATTCAAGTTCTCAGTTCCACTCTTAACTTCACTACTTGTGTTTCTCAAAATAGTAATCTTTGCTCTTGTTTTCATGTTTCTCCTCATTTCTTATCCTTTTGCAGTTTGACTTCCAATTAAATTTTTCTTATTACCAACAACATCTTCAGTAGTTTCTGGACTCCTAGTATTGTCACTAAAATCCCAGTCAATGTGGAAATTAAAAAATGATGATATTCCAGAGGACTCAAGCTTCTCTTAAAATAAAATTTAATGGTTCTGTAATTCTAATTGATAGTTTGCCAGGGTGTAGCTACATAATTAAGGATGGAATCTCTGTATCCCATAGATTCTCCAGGTTCACATCTTCCACCACATTCTCCCCATAATGTTTGCTACATCCCCAGGTCCTACAGTACTCATTTCTTTATAGGGATGGTTGCACATATGTAGGCACTAACCTGAAGCCTGGACATCCAGAGATGGGCAAGATTAGCTTGTGATGTTGTAGAGTTCTGTATTCCATTCCACTCCAGGATGACTACCAGCAGTATCACTAGTTTCTCTCAAAGCAGCCGTGTACAAGCAAAACCACTCAACTTCTTTGTACCCAGTCCCATTCTAGTTCTCTGAATTAGACCTAAGTGAGTATATCAATTCCAGTGGTCAAATATAATGGATAGTTTATGTATGTTTTACAAGCCTATCTTATGGCATTTAATCCCGTTCACCATGGAATCTTTTGAGATGCTTCCTTTACTTTCCTACCCTATCCCTCACCCCCAGGTGTATATATGTATGTATTCAATCCTTTGTTCCTTTTTTCTGGCAACTCCTCACTTTTCTTGACAAATCCCTCCTTCTCTACCACCCCACTAAGTACTGTGGTTCCCTGGGATTCTGTCTTCACTCTTCTGCAATCCCAGTGTTCACACGACCTCTTCTAGGCCAACGTCATCAATCACTTTTACTCTGATGAATCCCAGAGGTCATTCCTGACCACCGGACTTATTGGACAGCTCCATATGGATTTCCCAAAAACATCTTAAAATTCAACGTTCCAACACTAAATCCATTCCCAAAACTGCTTTTCTTCATATGCTGCAGATCTCATATAATGGAAGCACTGGTTTCTCAGCAAACTTAAATCAAAATTCTTACAGTTCTCTTAACTCTTGTTCCTCCAATTTGTTTTTCAGTCCATCAATTCTAATTATTACTTATTTCTTGAAACTTCCCACTTCTTTTTGTCTGAATTACAACACTTTAAATCATCACTTATCTAATATAATGCAATAATCTGCTCATCAGGACCTGCCTTATCTGGCATTCTCTCAACCAGATGTCTCTTTCTAATACATAAGTCTGATTGCTTCACTCCCCTAATTTAAAAAAATCCTTAAATTTAGCCAGACAAAAAACTTTTTGGTATAAGTGCCACATTTTGTTTTTATATAACGCCTTGTTCTGTGTTAGCTGTTTTCCTGTTCCTGAGATGTTCTTCTTCATGCTTGACAGCAAGTTCTCATTGGTCCTTTCAGATTGTGTCCCATTTAACCCTTTAGAGCCTTTTTGACTTGCATCCTCATTCCCAAGCCCCACCCTAGGTAATTAGCTATTCTATACTCCTTGATCCCCTAACACTTGATTTGCAAATGTATCTTGTTAGATCATAGCTATTTGTTTACATGTGTATCTCTCCAACTAGAATATGAGCTCTTTTAGGGAAAAAGCCCTGTTTTGTTCATCTCTGTCTCCTCGTTGTCTATTAAAATTCAATAAATTTGTAAATGAATGTCTGACCTGCTGAAGCTCACAAGGTAGTTAACAAACAAAATTTACACACAGATTGATTAGGGAAAAATGCAATACAGAGATAAAGTTGATAGTTGAAAATAGTAAAGCCTGTATAATATCACCTTACAGAAGGTAAAAGCTTAATTTTTTTCCAGTTTATGAAATAGTGTAACTACTTTTATTTATTTTTTAATTTAATTTTATTTTTTTAAAAGAGGGAATGGGGAGGGGCAGAAGGAGAGAGAGAATCTTAAGCAGGTTCCACGCCCAGCAGGGAGCCTGAGCTGGCTCCATCTCAGGACCCTGAGATCATGACCTGAGCCAAAATCAAGAGTCAGATGTTTAACCGACTGAGCAACCCAGGTGCCCTATTAATGTAACTATTTTTAAATTTGATTCTCAAACTGTATGCTGCACATTTACACACACACACACACACAGAGAGATTTGATATGACATACAGAGATGAAATATCCAATAGGATAACGTATAAATAAATGAGCAAATTAGAGTAAGCCATCCAGCTAAACCTGGTAAAGGTATTTGGCATTCTGTAGTACAAATCCCCTTCAATTTGCCAGAATTGAGAATAGACCAAAAAGAAAAAAAAGAGAGAGAGAGATTATATCATAGTCTCCTAGCCTAAACAACACATTATTCAGAGAGCAAGATCTCTAAGCAGACTTGGTCCT